GTTTTAGGCTGTCCGGCTAAAGTAGACGATTTACCATTAGATAAATAAATACAGCTTCAGATCTCCAACCCCAACAACCACACAAAGAACAACGAACAACCATAATTCCCCAACTAACAATTACAATCACTCAAAATGTCTAATTCTAACCCCCCTCTGATAACCCACATGTACACCGCCGACCCCTCTGCTCATGTCTTCAACAACAAAGTGTACATCTATCCCTCCCACGACCGCGAAACAGACATTCAATTTAACGACAATGGCGATCAATACGACATGGTAGACTACCACGTCTTCTCTATGGACTCCATCTCCGGTCCCGTAACAGACCACGGCGTCGTCCTGACTCTCTCCGACGTCCCCTGGGCAAGCAAGCAGCTCTGGGCACCTGATGCAGCAACCAAAGATGGTAAATACTATCTCTATCTCCCTGCCCGGGATCACGATGGTATATTCCGGATCGGGGTAGCTGTGGCCAACAAACCGGAGGGGCCGTTCACGGCCCAGAAGAGTTTTATCGCGGGGAGCTATAGTATTGATCCTGCGTCGTTTGTGGATGATGATGGGAAGGCTTATCTTTATTTTGGGGGCATTTGGGGTGGGCAGTTACAGTGTTGGTCGAAGGGTTCTGGTGCGGATGCTGTGGGGGAATGGGTGTTTGATGCTTCGAAGACGGGGCCTCAGGAACCGTCTGGTGAGAATGAGATTGCTCTCCATCCGCGTGTTGCGCAGTTGACGGACGATATGTTGGAGTTTGCGACCCCTGTGCAGGAGCTGGTTATTCTGGACAAGGATGGGGGCAGTCCTATTAAGGCGGATGATCATGAGCGTCGCTTTTTCGAGGCCTCTTGGATGCATAAGTATAACGGGACGTATTATTTCAGTTATTCAACTGGGGATACGCATTATATTGCGTATGCGACTGGGGAAAGTCCGTTCGGTCCGTTTAGGTATAGGGGTCGCATTTTGGAGCCTGTATTGGGGTGGACGACGCACCATTCGATTGTAGAGTTTGGGGGGCGCTGGTGGATCTTTTATCACGATTGTGAGCTTTCCAAGGGCGTGAGTCATTTGAGAAGTGTGAAGGTTCGGGAGATTGCGTATGATAATAAGGGGGATATCTATTTAGTGGACTGAATGAGTGAGAAGGTTTTGTGAGTGAATTGTACTTGTATTGAGTCTTGGTTCTTTGGTTGGGACGAATGTAGGTTTCGTGTATGAACTATTGCGTAGTATAGGTCTAATGCGCCATTCCCTTTTCTCGGTTCTCGACGACAAGGTCCCAGTACTTCTCGCGACTGCGTATGCGTAGTGTCTTGCCGTATTTGATCATGACAAGGAAGACGGCTGCGCAGGCCATGCCGATGAATGCGGCGGAGATGAAGCAGTTTTGGTATCCCAAGTTATTGATCCATGGGGTGATGCTGTATCTCGTTAGCATGTACCGCTACTTTTGGATAGATAATGGATGGCATACCCGTAGCCGATAGCGAAGGACATTGTGTTGCGAACTAAGATGATACTTGTCATCGCGTCGCCGCTTAACTCTCGGTAGCTGTCGACGAGGTAGTTTACACTCAGGGTCACGCCACATGTATTCGCCATCGCAAGAAGGCACATCGCTACTAGGAGCCCAAACCAGTGAACCTGATGCGCTGCGCCCACACCCCAGAGTATCAGTGAGCCCGGGAGGATGACGAGACAGACAAGGAACGGCCAGAGACGGTGTTCGGCTTCCATGATTCCGTTATTCCGTCGAGCAAGTCGGATAGTTAGCCAGTCGCTGAATCTGCCGGTAAAGATAGCGCTATATATCAGTTAGCATTGTACCCTTGGGGGGTGGACTTTGAAGGTGGGGAGACTTACCCAAGACCCACGCCGAGACAACATGCAATGTAGGAAAGGCCGACAATTGCGGTGCTTTTTCAGTAAGAAATGTGTTCAAATATCTGTCTAGGGCTAAGTACCTGAAGTTGTATGGAGCAGATCCAAGAATGATTGAGGCAGTTGCGTTTAACACATTGAAAAAGATCAAGTATGAGCCATATGAGAAACTATTTCGCAAGTTACTTTTCCAAGTTTCCGATGGTACTGGGAGTTCTAAACTTACCCTGCGTAAAAGACAACGGGCCAGCTCAAGTAGTATAAAGCATGCCAGAGCCGTCTAAGCATATGGTTCTTTGGCTGACGCGGCCCCAGAAGTGACAGCTTCTGGATGTACGTTTTCTTGTTGTATACATTGTGTACTTCACCGGCCTCTGTGTCTGTATGTCGAGGAGTGTCAACAGGGTCAGCCTTCTTTTGCCCCCCTTTCTCCAATGTTGAAGTAGCTGGATCGGCTGGGTTAGTAGGAGTGATATGTTCGACACTTTCACGCGTATAATTCGTCTCCTCCATGCAGAAGAAAAGGAACGCAGCGGTGACGGCACAGAAAATGGCAGGGTAATAAAACACCCACTGCCAGCCTTGGTACTCGGCGATGAAGCCACATATAACCGGGGCAAAATAGTTACTACCGGCTAGGAAGAAGGCATACAGGCCCATATATGTTCCGCGCTCGTGCGTGAAGTACTAAAGCCGTCAGTTTGGTTTGCGACGAGATCTCATTCGGATACGCACCACATCCGTAACTGTTATTTCTGGAAGGGCCTCGATTGGTGCCAAGAAAAAGCCTGTCACGATACTACGAGCGATCCATTGACCATTATTTGTTATATAAGGACTGACTTGTCAGCGTCAATTGATCAAGTTGGAGTTAGAGCTGTAAATACCCCCATATTAGCGTGCCCTAACCGTATATACATGTTAGAAGTAGACTTCATCTATCCGTCGTCGAGACTTACCATCATTCCGATCAATGAGACTATGTATGTAAGTCGCTTGCCGTACTGCAATGCAAACGGTTGCCAGAACAGTAAGCCCCATCCTGCGAGCAGGAACATATATCCCGTTCCTTCATTTAAAGTACCAACAGAGACTCCTGTCTCCTCGGAGAGTGGAACCAGTACCGAGTAGACAACCGAGCATGCAATACCTGCGAACAAGGTGTACCTTTAAATCCAAACGGCGATTAGCTCGTGCCTGACATGCATTATCACACGTGCTGTGAAGACTTACAAACTGACACAGATGGTTGACAGTAGTTTCCGACGTGGCGACCAGTTCAGTGGGTCATCAGGGTCATCTGAAGGCTGGGGAACGAGAACAATGTCACTATTTCCCCCGTTCAGATGTCGTGTAGCCAACGTATGCTCCAAATCCACCAGGGTAAATGTGCCCGGGATGGCATTCCTGTCCACACCTGGCGTCATGCTGCGATGGTACTGTGGGATATCCCTTGTGTTTCAAAATATGGAATAACAATGTAGATCTAATCGAATAAAGACAGATGCATTACCCCAATGCTACAGTAAGGGGTTAACCCTGTAGAAGAGCGGTGTCCACAAAGTAATAAATGGCAGGCTTCACAACGCATCCCTTGCAGCGGAACCAGACACGACGCTCCGATCCGCGCTTCGACCTATCAATTTCATGGAAACCGTAGATATTCTCCGGTTAACCGAAATGTCCGGCGATCTCGAGAGGGGTTAAGCATTTGCACCACTTTCTGGATAAGAAAGGCGGGATCCATTCGACTACGTATTCCAGACCCCGATCTTCGACTCAGTCGACGCTAAGTGAAGATAAATTGATAACAATGCGTTCGTGATCCTGATGAATCCAATGCGGAGAAGAGGGGAAGTACCATAAATGACTCGTATCCGGGAGGATTTGGTCAGGAAAACGGGCTTTCGATATGGGGGGAAGTGATGTAAGTGATTGTCTGTGGGTGGAAAGTGTCAACGGAATTCTTTCCGGGGATGACGCTTAGAGAAACCAATCACTGTATCGCGGTGATGATAGCGAATTAACGTCCATGGCGGCGGCTATCAAGGTTTACTCGATCACCTGCCACTCCACCACCCTAAATCATAAACTAATAACGTCTCATTCTTTGTTATCTTGGCTCCAAAAGGTATCTTGCCGGGTCCTACCGAGATAAACTCACTCGTTCCTTATCACTTAGCCCCTATTGTATGGCACTGTGCTAGGTTCCTATCTTCACTCACTCTTAGATCACGAACTTACCAATCTTTAAGGCTAACAAACAATTTTTACATTGAATCATCCTTTATGCAATATCCGATATGATATCTTTTCTTTTTTTTTTTTCTTCCCGCTCCCTGTTCTCTTTGCGTTCTGTTCTACTCGGGAGAAAGCACTGCCTCAGCTGATAATATTCACACTTTTCCTAGTGTAACTCTAGAAGAATAATGATAGATCAATCATACTTCAAAGACAGATGGAAATGTTTTCCAGACTAGGGGTGAAAGCCCTGTGCACAGTATTCATGTCATGTTCGAAACCCTCCCGTTATCAAGGTTCTGGTCCGTATATAGCTCTCACGCTCTGTCCTGTTTGGCACGAGGCTATACACCACAACTTGTAATAGATACCCACCGAATCTAGGAAATTGAGCATCATGGAATCTGCTCCAGATCAAACGCAAAGACAACTCTTGCATAATGAGGTCGAGGATGTCTTTGACCCCAAAGTACGGCCCTTTCTTGTGGGAGTACTGCTATTCTATTCTCTATTCTGAAAAGATAGCTTTTAGGTTCACCTTAATTATACCCCTCCTGCTTCCCTATTTACCATGAAAGACCTCGGGTTGAAAGACTCGAACACATCAACCTCCATAGCAGGAAGTGTTCCGTTCCCTTTTCTCTCCGAGAGAGGGGTGCGTGCCTATCGACGATCGTTGATAAGGCCTCATATTTTAATAAACTGTGCAAAGTCATACGGCGCTGGCACATTTATCCTACGCAATCTGGCCAAACATTTAAAATTCATCTCGGACCTCTGGACGCATCCGGAGACAATAAGAATTGTATCTGAAGTTGCTGGCGTGCCACTGACTATAATCATGCCAACAGAAATCGGCCATACAAATATTCAAACTGCTGGGTGTACGGTGGATGATCTATTGAGCGAGCTTGAGGTGGAGCCAAGAGCAAACTGTGTCTGCATGGATGAACAGGATGGCTATGATCCACTTAGGGAGAGTGCGGTCATACCTTGGCAGTAGGTCCTCTTTCGTTTCTCCCTCTCTGTCTACCTCTATGTCTTCTTTCTTTCTTTCTTCCTGTTTCTCCCCTATTCATTTCTTAGCATTGTAGTACGTGCTGACAAAAAAAAAAAACAAAAAAAAAAAAAAGCTATGACTCTTACCCATACGTAGCGGTCCTAATGCTCAGTGATACTACACACATGACCGGGGGAGAAACCTATATCAGGAAAGGTGATGGCAGTGCAGCAAAGGTACATGGTCACCAACCTCTACTGTGTCAATAACCCCACAACTAATAATTCTCCATATAGGTTGAGGGACCTTCCCTGGGACATTGTTTTATGCTTCAAGGAGGCCAAGTCGAACACCTAGCCGCTCGAGCCTTTGGAACGGCCGAGCGGATCACAACCATAACTTCATACCGCGCAGCTATACCTGGTTTCTACGACGATAGTTATATCTCAAATGTGCGATCATATTGCGATCTCCCCGAACTGTATACCGAGTGGACCAACTACCGACTCGAGAGATTGAAGCAGGAAATCGAGCATATGCAGATTACCATCATCCAACACATTGGTCGAGATCAAGATAGCTTTCCCTTGAATGAGGTGTATCACTTTGCTGAACAGCAGATATCGTACCTTAAGCGTAGCGTCCGCCAGATGGTGGATCAGACGCTTTGTGCAGAGGTCAGGCGACATTTCGATGGTCAGGAGATCAATGCTGTCGGTGAGAAATGGGCTCGTATTCGTCTCCATCAGCAATTTAAGGATCTGCTTCCGGTTGTCATGGCACAGACTTTGATGTGGAGACCTGTTCTTCCGTATTTGAGTGACTGGGGGGAGACTAAATGTATGATCAGGAGCGGGAATGCATCGTTGGTTTACAGTCAGCAAAGGACGTTCTCGTGGGATCAGAATCGATCTGAAGAGTATCTGTTTGGTGATGAGCTTCTCCGACAAGGTCTCAAGGAGGTTCTGGTAGCTTGGTTGCATCGCTTTAATTTGGTTAATCTTGGAAAAGATACTTGAGGGATGTGTGGTCTGAGCGGTGAATTTCCAATAGGAAATATTGGCATCTTGGCTTTATCGTAATGCAAGCGACCATGTGAAACTCTTCTATAATTGTATACTTCAGTCGGGATTTCACGGTGTCCGCTGGATCGGCCCGCTGTGCATCGGTCCGTTGCCCTAACCAATCGAAATGCTGTTCGACAAGCTTAGGAACCTTGGCTTTTAATCGCAAAGATATATAAAGAGGGAATGACTAATTTGTAGTATAGTTATAACGAATCGACAGCACTGTATCGTTTTATTTCTTACTACATCTGTTTCCTTCTTACTTCGCTCCTATACCAGAACCGCCGATACGACGACTATGACCAACACCAGCCTGGCAGACAAGAACCAGGCTTATTGGAAGTAAGTCAATTATGGAGAAGTATCTAAGAAAAGTGCATAGAACAATTGATTAATCTCAAACAGTAGAGCAGCCAAATCTGTCTTCAAAGACAAGTGGGTGCACGACTTGCAGAAGCAAATATCCGACTTCCTCACTAGCAACGTGAACTGGCTCGGGGTTCAACTTCCTTCGAACGACACCACGAGAGAAACCAAGCTAATGGACTACGCATGTGGTAACGGGGTAGTCTCTATGATATGCTCTAGGCAGTGCCCATTAATCCAACTGGCGAGACCTATACTGATGGGCTTGCTGCAATTATAGCCCCTCCACCACCTATTCTCCAGGTGCATTGGTATCGATCTCTCAGACGGAATGTTAGATAAATACCGTGCTACTGCTGCAAGTCTAGGACTCCCCGAATCTCGTATGATGGCCGTCCAAGGTAATCTTTTAACCCCAAGAGTTCAGCCAACCATTCCTTCCCTGGACGATGAGGAGCTGAACGGCTTTGATCTGGTTGCTATCTGCATGGCCCTGCATCATGTTGAAGCTATACAACTAGCTACGCAGCGCTTAGCATCGAGACTACGTCCAGGTGGCGTTTTCCTCATCATTGACTGGGCTACACGCGACTCGTCGGCCGTGAGCGAGCATGTTTCGCTAGATGCAGTGAATCCCGAACACTTTGCTGCATGTACCATCTCTCATGATAGTTTTACTCAGGAACAGATTGTAAGCTTACTTGACCAAGCTGGTTGCGGGGATGCGCGATTCGTGCTGGCTGATCGTCTATCGGATGTTCCTGGTGCTCGCAGTGGAAAGATGCAATTGTTCTAGGCTCGGGCTACCAAGTTATGATTCAATGTAGTGAGGATCGTGGATATAAAGTGAACTGTGTGAAGGTCGCTCTGTATGGGTTTACTGCTCGCTCAGTATCATGTAGTTTAGCTATGGGATAACGTGTTTAGTGGAACTCAAGACACTTTTCTTATGAAGACTGCAAGATATACGTTCTACTGCTAAGCGAACGCTATTATCGAACGCTTAGGACTTTTAGAGTGGCATCTTATTGATGTATTCAATAGCCTGGCAATAATCTAGCAGAACAGAGCCCAGTAGCGAAGTATAGCATTTGTACAGTTGTTTTTAATCTCTGGCCTTTATACAAACTTAATCACATATAGCTAGCTCATTTACAAATATATACATATGCTTGTCATAGACCGGCAGCGGCGAGCTACACCGAACTAGTATCGGCTGCATGCTCCCCTCTGTTCTTTTCTCTATCATCATGATTTAACCACTGTACTGGTGGCCGGCCCATATAGCTCTCTGCCATTTCCACTCCCCATCTGACATTCCCATCATCATCTTGAAACCACCCTAAGCGCGCGTAAAGACAACTCTTCTCACCCTCAGTAAGCCTTCCATCTTGCATCTCCCGGATCATATGCACAAGGTTTTCACTTCCTGCAGTCAAAACCAACATGTCTCCAAGACATTCTACGTTCCGAATCAACCGCCTCAGGTACTGCCGATGAAAGACCGTCACGATAACTGTGGCAATAATAAGCCACGCTAGTATGCTCACACTGAGCCACACAGCGACAGCGTTCATCTGTAGCATCTCGACGTTTTTAGAAACCATCACCACAACCGTCCGATTCGTATGGGAGATTGGATGTATCTCATTTTGATAGTCTGTAAGCGGTGCATCCTCCAGAAGCGTAGCATCAGTTACGGCCGGGGTAAGGTCCGACGGTAAGCTTGCGTTAATGGGCTGATAGACCCAGCTACCTCTTGTCATGGTGAGATTGCTGTTTGCGAAGTGCTGGAAGAAGGTGGAAAATGTTTTCGAAGAAAGGGATGAGAAGACCGTAGGATCGAGAAGTACCGCTGGGTCCTCGCCCGCTAGGGAGTACATGGAATAGGACATGAAGTCCAGATTTAACCCGTGCGCTTCGTCACGGATATTGAAGGTATTGTCAGTTGTATCTTCCGTGATGAAGCCTAGTATGCGACTTGGTCCGATAATGTTCTGAATGTTCGCTGCGGTGAGCATCTGCGTCATGAAAAGCACTCCGTAGCTAGCAGCATAAATCAGATTAGCAGTAGTTCGTCTGTGGTTGTGAATCTCGTTAACCGAATAACTTACCTGATGGTTGCATTATAGTTAATCTGCGATAGTTCCTGGTCAGACGTTCTATGAGGCAGAAAGACGTCCGAAAACGCATTATCCGCAACTTGTGGTTCATCTGTGATGTTGAACGCTCGAACTTCGCCAGTAGCAGGATCCACGGTCACCTCTGCATTAGCTGTTTCTACTAGCGGTATACAGTTCATGGCCGTTATCGAAGGTATATTCGTGAATAGCAGATGTGGTTGCTTATAGCCATAGGGTCCGAGCAATTCGGTTGCTGATTGTGCATGGCCATGTATCCATTTGGTTGTGAAGTTACGTGACCAGGCCCTTGGGTTCCATTCTGCCGGATTGCCATTCGGTGACCAATAACCAACAGCAGCCATCGGATCTGTCCCAGTGTCGGTCCCGTTGCCACAGCACTCGATCGAGGATGGATTGGCAAAGATCGGAGTGCATTTATCACAGTTTGTGTAGTTGCGTAACGGTTCAGGGAATATCATGCTTGGTCGGTATTCGTTTAGTTTAAAGCCCACTCCTAACTGATACGCCATCTTGAGGTCCCCAGCGCTCGGGCTCAACATCCAACTGGACGAATTGCTCACATCAGTAGGTGTTATCCATGCAGAAAGATTTAGCAAGCCTTCATAAGGACTGCATTCAATTCTACCGCGGATAGCGGGCGTGGCAAGCGAGACATTGATTTGAGAGTTCTTGTCAATACCTCCCTGATAATCGATGCCAATCTTCCCCGGGGTTGAAAGGCTGACGCTACTTAGATCGACGGGAACAAAGCTCCAGCCTCCCTTACTCCAGGCTGGCTCAGATCCATTCAAGGCCAGTTGGTTTGCAGCTGTATACATCCAGTGCGAGGACAAATTCCCGTGGAGTTGAGCAAGGATGGTGCCCAAGAAATTAGTAGCGTATCGTATAGTAAACTCTTGGGTTTTGAAGACATGAGGGATTTGACGAATCTCCAGCGAACGCTCCAGCGTTTGTGTCTCTATTACCACTCCAGTGTCGCGCTGGAAGAGCGCTGACATGGTCGTAGTGACTAGAGGCCCGCGGTTAGTACATCCAGACCATACAGTGAATAATCATATGAACGTACATATCGGTGAAATAGCTGTGCCCAGCGTAACCCATACCAACATCCAGTGACTATTCTTTAGAGCCTTAATCGTGGCCCATATCCAGTAAGATGATTGATATGATAGATCCACGCTCTCCGATAATGGCCGGTAACGTTTAGCCATGGCCAGATATGGCTGTAGGCGGCAAAAGGTACTGTCAATAACACCCCACCACAAGCCGATACATACGGCTATGATGGTTGGGATCATGGAGAACGGCCCAACAGTGGACAGCTGTTTATCAAAAATGGAAATGTTTGCTTGATAGACGAAAGCTTTCCCATACAGCTGGGACAACTGCGCGAAATGGTACAATACCACAACCCCGGTGAGTACGGCTACAAGACATACAAGTAGTACCAGTAGGGTTGGAAGACGGAGCACTCCTGGAACCCAGTTGGTTCTCGAGGCTGATTCCGGGGGCGAATCCCTCATTGTTTGATTGACGGTTTCGCACTTATCAGGAATCGTCTCGTGTAGTGCTTCTGAGTCTGTGTAATACCGCTTACCCTCCAATAGTGTCTGCAGCTCCTTATCTGATGCCTGGTTGAAGTCTTTGAAACAAAACCTGGTCCGAGGACTCTCCACCAGAAGAGAAGTCGCCCCGGCAAGTGATGCAGGATCAGTTTTCACATTCAACGGTCTGTGCTGGAGTCGTGAGCCTCTCCACGTGATTAGAAGGAGACAGAAGGATAGAAAGAACAAAACTATGAGTGTTATTGCAGGCCCGGCGGTAGTGGTCACTCTTCTTTCAACAGTCCTGACATGACCTTGGGTAGGAAGGTACTGAGAGGCACCTCGCTCGGTCAAGCTTGACTGGATCATTTCTCCAAAGAATCGTTGCTGAATTTCCGCCGCACGGGAAGTCCTGTTTCTGTCTTCAACCATCGCAGTGAAATTATTCTTATATATTACCCATAACAGACGAGCTGGTCCGTAAAGATACGGAGTATGGTCGAAATTTAGGGTGAGCATGGAGCTCGTCCAATTGGGGTCCACTGCCTCGTCTCGCATCATCTTGGTGCTCATCAAAGTATCCGGAACCTTCTGTCGGTTCTGAATGTATTCACTCTCATTGAAGGAGATCTTTGGCTCACTGCCCGAGAGGTCAATTAAGGCCGTGATATTAGCCATTGAATATGTTGTCGTACATAGATTCACATTCAGGGTGCTGTTTCCCTCCAACAGCAGGAGGTAGTCATGGCTGGTACATTCCTTCGTTTGTGTCACATTCTGGATATCAAGATCGAGCGACGATCTGCTTGTGTTCATTCCTAAAAATGAGAAGTTCGACCAGCTGGCACCACCTTCAGTCCACATGTTAGGACCGGTTATAATAGCTGAGAGTCCCAGCTTACAATCGCCGGAGGACCAGACAGTGGTATTAGAAACGACGGTAACATTACTGTGCTCGTCCCCTATTATTACTTCCTTGCTGGACGAGTTTTCGACCTCCATTTTGTTGCACTCGAAATCACTTTTGAACGCCGTAGTTTCCGCCTTCCACGTTTGTTGAGTGGAAGGTAACGATCCAAACCGTGGGCTCTCCCAGGAAGTTGGCCAAAATGGAAGCATGGCCCACTTATCCGTAACCCATGGCGAAGTCGATACGTTTTGGGCAAAATGGCTAATCGTCCGAAAGCGAGCGATGCGACTCTGGCTAAGAGAAAGGGGCGCGTCAGGCCGTGGTATCAGGCGAAGGAAGTCCGCCTGGCGTGGGACTGTCACGTCGACTGAGACTAACAAAGCCGACGACAGCGGTGAGATTAAAAGAAATCCGAGGACATTGACCAAGGTTGCGCAAAACAATACCCAGCCTCTTGAAGAGCCCCCATTCTTCCTCCTGGAGAATCCATCGTGGAGCGCATTCCACCAGGCTCCAGGCTTTTGAAGAATACTTGAAGATGCCTCAGACCCTTCGGGGCCTGCTAGCCGAGCAAATGGCTCCAATCGCTTGACGTCGTCCACCAGCATAGCTGTCATTTGGATGTAGATGACTGCTACCAAAGTTGGGCTGAATCGCCAACCGAACAAGATCTTCGAGGATCCATCGTCCGACCCTAAACCATAATTTGTCTGGGACGTCACAAGCAATGCGATCGTCACGGCACACAGCACCAAGGCTAGCAGGCTGAGCAGGCCAAGGAAGTTGTTCTGGAGTGTAAACGGTAGCCAGCTCGGAGACTGTTTTCTTTGGTCATGACGTATTTGCGAATCGGAGGCTGGCTGGTCAGGGGCTGGAAGTATGTTTATCTCATGGACGCCATTCTTGACGCGAACATCTTCGCTATTGTCATCTCCCTCCTCGCGAAACCTGCTATGGTAATCACGCCTTTGGGGCTCATCAGAGAATTCTGCTGTGGAACCATTGGCCCCTTGTCTCAAAGATTCACTGCTTTGGCTGCGCAGGGTGGAAGGCCTTGAATCAGGAGAAACTGGGGAATTCGCAGAAAATTTATAATTATTAGAAGTACGATCGTCCAAAGAGATGTCGGGCGACGGCGAGCGAGCCATCATGCACCGAGCAACAGCAAGTTGCGAGTGGACGTATTCACTACCCACGGTTCGACCCCTACGAGAGACTGCGAGTATGGGAGAACATTTGGAAACTGTTCCCAGGGAAAGTGAAAGCAGAAAAGACGCAAAAAGGGAGAGACACCAATGTCT